GTTTGAAGGAGCAACAGTGTTCAGTACCCTGGATGCCAGACATGGATATTGGGCTATACAGCTAGATGAAGAATCAAGCCATTTGACGACCTTCAATAGTCCCTTTGGTCGTTACCGTTTCAAAAGACTACCTTTTGGCTTGTGTGTTTCTCAGGACGTGTTCCAGCAACGAATGAATCAAATACTAGAGAAATGTCCTGGAGTCATAGGAATGGCCGATGACATAGCAGTCGTAGGAAAGACGGCAGTGGAACATGACGCCAACTTACACAATCTGATGCGCGTCGCAAAGGAGCATGGACTCGTCCTGAACTGGAACAAATGCCACATCAAGCAAGACCGAGTGAGATTCTATGGCCTTGTCTTCAGCAAAGATGGAGTGCAACCAGACCCACAGAAGACAGCAGCCATATCAGCCCTGAACGCACCACAGAACGTGACAGAACTCCGAGAGTTCCTAGGCATTGTGACCTACATGTCACCATTCATTCCAAGACTTGCCTCACTGACTGCACCACTTCGGGAACTTGTGAAGAAAGATGTGATATATAGCTGGACTGAATCACATCAGAAGGTGTTTGAGACCATCAAAGATATGATCTGCAAGGAGACCACACTTGCTTACTTTGATCCAAAGAAACCTGTTGTCCTAGAAGTAGATGCATCGATGAAAGGCGTTGGAGCAGCCCTCACACAGGAAGGGAGACCAATAGCGTTTGCCTCAAAGTCCCTCACAGACACCGAGCAGCGATACGCTAACATTGAGAGAGAGATGCTAGCAGTTGTCTACGCATGTGAAAAGTTTCACACGTTCGTCTTCGGCAGAAGTTTCACTATCCTCTCAGATCACAAACCACTAGAGATGATCACTCTCAAGAACCTTGGAGCTGCACCACCAAGACTACAAAGACTACTGCTCAGACTCCAAGGGTATGACATGACAGTGAAATATAAACCTGGAAAGGAGATGCTTCTGTCTGATGCCATGTCAAGACTTAATCCTCTGCCTCCTGAGTCTCCTGAAATGCACATGAAAGTTGACTTTGTAATGTTCTCAGACAAGAAGCTACTGGAGATCCGCACCGCAACATCAGAGGACTGTGAACTTTGCATCCTGAGAGATGTAATCCTAGAGGGATGGCCAGAAGAAAGGCGTAAACTTGACAAAAGCCTGATCAAATACTGGCCATACAGGGACGAGATGTCCATTGAAGACGGGATTATCCTGAAAGGTTCAAGAATTGTCATCCCCAAATGCCTGACAAAGGAATACCTGAACAAGCTACATGAGGGACATCAAGGCATCATCAAATGCCAACTGAGAGCAAAGAGCTGTATCTTCTGGAATGGCATAAATCAGGAGATCGAGATGATGGTACGGAAATGTTCTGTATGTCAAGAATATGGGAACTCCCTGCCATCAGAGACTCTGCAGCCACATGAAATTCCTGTCAGACCTTGGCAATTTGTCACAACTGACCTCTTCACACTTGATGGAAGAGAGTACCTTCTTGTTGCTGACGTATACTCAAAGTATCCAATTGTAAAGCAGTTACCACAGCAAGCAACAAGTAGTGCTGTCATCAGACTGCTTAAGGAAATCTTCTCTGAACAAGGAACCCCCGAGAGACTAATGAGCGACAATGGACCTCAATACAATAGTGCCATATTCGTAGAGTTTGCCAGAGACTGGAATTTCCAACATGTAACCTCAAGCCCGAGATATCCACAATCCAATGGATTTATAGAGAGGCAAGTACAAACTGTCAAGAACACCATGAAGAAAGCTAAGAGAGATAACATAGGCGTCAACAAGGCATTGCAATGCCTGAGAGCCACTCCATTGGACAGCCATCTACCATCTCCAGCAGAGCTGTTACTGGGGAGGAAGATCCAAACCAACATACCGACCAGAATTCGGAACCAGTCACCCCAAAAGGATGACATCTACCAGAGACTGCAGACCAGGCAGGATGACCAGAAGAAATACTTTGACGACAAGCACGCTACCAACCTTCCCCCACTACACAAAGGACAAGAAGTCAGAATCCAAAATCAAGAGACTGGTAGATGGGACAGAGGAAAGATCACAAACAGGAGACCAGAACCAAGGTCATATGAAGTAGAGACATCATCAGGTTACACTCTGCGACGAAATCGTAGGCACATCAAACCAACCCAAGAGAGGGACAGCATGGAACAAAACCATCAACATGCTAGTGATAGACATAATGATGTACACGACCAGCAGAATGCACAAACAGAACAAACACAATGCAAACCAGACACACCATCGAATCACCACCAACCATACACCACCAGATCAGGTCGTACTATTAAGAAACCAGAGAGATACGATATGTAAAATATTGATATGGTTGGAGATAATTCAAATAATTGTTGTCTTTTGCTTTCTTTAACAATGTTTACAAGGTTTTGAGTAATTAGATTTAAAGAGACATATTGAATATGTCATGTTTTGTTTATTAATTAAGTTTATTGCATTATAAAGCAAGATGATAACTGAAGTCTGATCAAAACATTTTAGATAAATAAGCAAACAATTCGCATTCAAATGAAAAACAAATTGTTTTTGGTGAAAAAACAACAACAAACAAACAAAGAAAGGGACGAAATTGTAAGTTCATATTAGCACAAGTTTAATTTCTTAAGCAAAGAATTTTAAAAAGATATTTTAAACAGTATGGATCTAAATATGAAATTAAGTTTTCATTGAGAAGAGGGATTGTGATATGATATCATTTTATATCTACATGTATGTTCAACAAATGACCTATATCATATGCCCATGATTATTGCTACCGCAGATTGTAATGCGGCTTCACATACATCTAATCAATACAACAAGTTGTTCATATTTGAGTTCTACAAAATCCAGCCTCAAGAAGACTCTTATTATAAATCATAATTAGTGTACAACACTTTACAACTAATACTGATACGGACTAAAGACAATGTGGTATTTGTATAGAGGTATTCCAAAATGACATTCTGATAATCAACATTTGTTCTGGTATCATATATACGCATAATACAACTGATCTTTATGATTTCTTAACGTGACATAGCTTCTTCTCCCTCTGCAAACAAAACAGAAAACAAGGTTATTTAATAAAAGGACCATGCGACAAATAATCATTGTGATTCAAATTGTGCAAGGATTTTTTTGAATAAGCAATGCTTTTCACCAGATCTTCTTTGTAAAAACGACTTTTACAAATCTCAGCCATGCAATTCTGCCACTGTGCTGTAAGATCACTTTGAGATTAGGAGAAGTGTATTATGTAATGGGTATTTTAAATTGAATGGAACGTCTCAACTCAATAAGCATGGCTGAGATTTGTAAAAGTTGTTTTTAAAAAGAAGTTTCGGGTGAATAGCAGTGCTTATTCAAACGAATATTCGCATCAGTTTGAATCACAATCATTATTTGTCGCTTAATCCCTTTTAATGACCATGTTTTCTTTTTCCTTTGCAAGGGGAGAAGAAGATATGTCACGTTAAAGACATCACAAAGATCAGTGTTGTATGCGTATATTGGAGATGCGTAATTGGAGAGCCTCTCGACAGAATTTTTTTAATTCTTTTAGGTGATCCTCAGGCATTGGCTGGTGCTAAATATCATTATGTTTACAGTATGTTCTATCATTTGTTAACCTTGTGATATTTTGTATGTTATCATCTTGCCTGGAAATGAAATAAATAAAATAAAAAATAAATATATTATATACACAGGCCAGTAACAGCTATGTAGCTTGTAAATTTGTAAGAGGGAAAATGCTGATTGAAATGATAATGATGAAATAGCAAATAATTGAAGAGTATCATAGGTACCAATTAAATGGATATTTGTATAAAAAAGAGCCCCCGTGAGAAGGCTCACGGGGGCTCTTTTTTTCGGGGGAAGAGCCCCCGTGGATGAAAAATTAATTTGAGCCCTGAAACACATACAAACGTATAATTTACTAAAAAGTGAGGAAAAATTTCGGAAATTATGTCATTTCAGCATTATTTGTAATCCACCGTTGTGGAATTAGAAATAAACCACGTTTGAATTTGACTTCTCCAAAGCCCCCCCCCCCCCCCCACCTATCAGTACGCCAGTATCTCCTCTTTTCCTTTTTTTTCTTTCCCTTTCCTTCCTTCTCTCTTATTTGTTTTGATTGGGGGGGGGTGTTAACAGCCTGGGAGGCAAGGCCCTTTCGGCCCCCCGATCTCCTTCTTCCCCTTTTCTTTTCTTCTTCCTCTTCTTTCTTTCCCTTTTTCTCCTTTTCCCTTTCCCTTTTTTTCCTTTCTTCTCTTTTTTTTTTTTTTTGCGGGGGGGGGGGGGCCAAGGCACGCTCGGCCCCCCCTGGATCCGCGCCTGCTATCTATTGCTATTGGTCAAAACAGAACAAAACAAAACAAAAAACAAGACGAAAGTTTGACAACAATCATGCACAACAATCAAACAAATAATAAAACAAACATAAACAGATGAAATTTAGCCAGATGTGCCTATAATAGGCTAAACATCTTTTCGTGGACTTTGACTGGTCGCCCTAGGGGCCGTATATACCTTCAAAAGCAATTTAAATATGCCTCATCACTTTTCTTAGCCTACATTAGGCTTCTCTGTACGTTGTAAAAGTTTAATTTTCCAGTTGATAATAAATGGAAAGATACACTGTATAACTGCCACCAAATGAAAGTACCAACGTAAAGACGGATGTTGATGAATAGGAACGAAGTATTAATTTATTAATCTCCAACAGTGCCGTGAAACTATAGACGAACAATGCACATCATACGTAATTTAGCGTTTACATGCAAAAATGAAGGGAGAGTCTCGAACGGATTCTCTATCTTACACATAGTAACCTTTAAACACATTTATCTAAAATCTAACAATCACATATTTCTTGACTCTTAATTAAACCTATAAACATCGTAAATTTATGATTAAATAGTTCTTAGAAACTTTCTCTGTCCTGACTCACCGCGTTGGCTGGACATTATCAATTTAGGCAGGTAAATTATCAAAGAAGAGGACAAACCGAACGATGTTTAGTTACTTCAGGAAGCTGTAATGAATGGAGATAATAATAATAATAGCTAGTTCTTACATAGCACTTAACAAAAAGAAATGTAACCATGGGTGTCGATCCTTACGTAATACCTATTCATCAGGGGGGATGAATGAATAGATCACCCCCCCCCCCCCTGATGACTAGGTATCAGTTACGGATCGACACCCATGAATGTAACCCTCTCCAGCCATAATTTCCATGAACAGCTGTCCATATGTGCATTGCCCCCTCTGATATTCCAAATATTACGAAATGTTACGCAACGCCATCTCAGAGGTGAAGAGGGGCACTTATCCCATCTGAAAAGGGGCACTGACCGTACATGAAAAAGAGGCACTTATGAAAATGAAAACGGGGCAATAATGATAAAGGGAAATGTGCATTTGTTGAAAGAAAAGGGGCACCGATCAGATTTTGATAGGGGCATTTATTGGAGGTGAAAGGGGGCTTTTATGACTAGGGGGAAGTGGCTCTTATTAAAAAGAAAAAGAGGCACATGTTAAAAATAAACGAGGCACTTATCAGAAGGAAAAAGGACATTTATTAGGAAGGAAAATGGCACTTATAAGAAGGAAAAGGAGCATTTTATTAGGAAGGAAAAGGGGAGGTGTCAAAATAAAAGGGGCACTTACGAGAATGAAAGGAATTATTTTCATAGATTTAAAGGGGCAATCATGAGAAGGGAAAGGGGCTCTTTTTTAAATGGGGGTACTTATAATAAGGAAAAGGGGCACTTATTAAAAAGGAAAGGGGGCACATGTGAAAATATAAGGTATAAAATGTAAGGGGTAGTTATTAAAAGGGAAGGGGCATTTTTTACAAAGGAAAAGGGCACCTCTCAGATTTGAAGGGGGTGCTTATGAAAAGTGAAATAGGGCGCTTCTTATACCCGAAAATGTAATCTTACTAGAGATCAAAAAAGGCACTCATCAGAATAAATAATAGACACTTCTTGCAAAGGAAAATGGGAACTTGTCAAAGGAAAAGGGGTACGTATCAAAATAAAAGGGGCACTTATCAGAGGTGTGGAAAGGGGAAGGGGCACTTTTAGAAATTAAAAGGGGCACTTGTCAAAGTATAAGGGGCACTTTTCCTATGTAAAAAGGGGCATTTTGGGGTACCTGCCCCCCCCCCCCCCCCCCCCGGAGCACCGCCGCTGCGTATGATACATGTGTCAAACTGCTCTAAAATAGAAAGATTGCAAAATAAGCTTTTACTTCCCCTGAAATGTAATGATTGCTTAGTGTACATTATCTGGGACTAAAAATATTGTCGGCGACAGGCGCGGATCCAGGGGGACTGAACGGGCCTTGCTTCTCCCCCCCCCCCCCCCCCCCGCAAAAAAAAGAGAGAGAGAGAGAGAGAGAGAGAGAGAGAGAGAAGGAAAAGAAGGGAAAGAGGAGAGAAAGGGAAAGGGAAAGAAAAAAGAGGAAGGAAAAAGAAAAGGGGGAAAAAAGAACTTAGATCGGGGGGGGGGCGAAAGGGCCTTGCCTTCCAACTGTTACCTCCCCCCCCCCCCCCCCCCCCCCATCAAAAAATAAGAGTGAAGGAAGGAAAGGGAAAGAAAAAAGGGAAAGAGGAGATAAAGGGAAGGAAAAAAGACGAAGAAGAAAAGAAAAAAAGGGGGTTGCAATTTTCCCGCCGACAAGTTGTAGCTCAGGGGGGGGGGGGCAAAAGGCCCTCGCCTCCAACCCAACCCCTCCCCCCCCCCCAAAAAAAAGGGGGGGAAGGAAGGGAAAAGGAAAAAGGAGAGCTAAAAGGGAACACAGAAGAGAAAGAAGAAAAGAAAAGGGTGAAAAGAAGGGGAGAACAGTTGCGATTTTTCTTTGTTTCACTTTGTCTCAATTTCATTTTATTGTTCATATTTCACATTTTACAATCTTCATTTACAACACATTGATACATTTAGGTTCATGTAATTTAGTGTAGACACAAAGGAAATACATCAAATAAAGTTATATACTTGCCTTTGACTAGTTCACGACAAACCATATAAAACATTTAATTGCTATTGGTGAATTTGTACACGATACATACGGAGGACTTACATAGAATTATAAAGTCAAATTTAAAAATTTTAAAAATATTTAAAAATATAAAAGTAATTGCATATACAGCAAAAATTGATGGAGCACAGAGTGCAAAATGCTTGAATGTTTTTAAAAAAAACCTTGACCAGGATATATCCCATGTGTTTATTCAAAGTACCTGTACCTTTTCAGAGCACGGAAATAAGGAGGAAGATATTTATAACTTTGGATATTCATTAGTTCATTTACCCAGCTGCATACAACATGCAGATGTTTTTTAGTGGTGTATCGAACTCTGTTTAATGTATTTGTAATGAATTCCCTTTTATTACAATGGTTATTGTTGACTCGTTCAGTTTTATTGCATCAGTAGATTTGCATTATATTAACGCTTTACTTGTCATGAAAACCTGTATAAATAAGCGTAAATGATATTTAAATACAATAGCATACATATACCAGATGAGTTAACAGGGACATTGGTTTCAGATCAAATACATATGACGTGAAAATGATGATTATAGAAAGCATGTAAAATTATTTGTTGGAGAATGTAAATGTATGTAACACTGTAACACTCCATCCCATCGCATGAAGCTTTCCTTCTTTCACATTTCTTCTACTTTTACCTCATAATGCTGACCCCCCCCCCCCCGGTCACTACTCCTCAACAACTGGACCCTTCATACGCCACCACTTTCAAGTACAAAATATGGATGCTTATGGATATAAAAAGAAAGACTTGCTTAAATCAATAGTCTATTTAATTGGGTACTTACATTAACAAAGTGACATCTCTTAAATTATGAGTTTGCCTATAATTTATTATAGATCAACAATCATCAATAATACAACAAGGTTTTAATATGCCCTTTGAACAAAGAAAACTCCAAGCGCCATTCAACTATTGTATACCAGCCATAAAGGATTGGGTTTCACTGTACCACCGGGTACGATAAATCGCCTGGTTGTATACTCGTGCGGCAGATCCATCCATTTCGAGGTTTCCTGGTTTTATAATCATCCCACATAAATATGTTATAATTCATCGAGGAAGAACAAATTTACAACATTACTGCGAAAATAGTTTGCGTACATTGAAATGAATTTATGAAATTTATGGAATTATAGATTGCCACGTTAGCAGCGCAGTCGTTTATTTTGTTTGCAATAACAATGTTGATTAAGATGAACATTCAATGATTGAGTAAATGTGCATCTGATTTCATGTATAATAATAATCTGGATGAATGCGATTAATTATTGCGAAATCTCGTCTCTAAACCCTTTACAGATACATATACATGTATTATTATTACCCCGCTGTTCGGATTCAGTCACGCACAATGTGCACCATCTCCACTCCATTTTTATTTTTTTGTAAAATGAACTTATTGATAGATACATGTACATGCTCTTGAACAGACCAAACAATCATACACAATCAATTGAAATAACAACGTATCATCTTAACATAGTTCAAATAAAACATGTTTCGTTTTTTTGAATAACAGTGTTTTAAAAAATGCAGAGCTTTTTTGTTTTACAGTAATTTTCGATCGTTATATTCGGTTGTGGATTAATCATTCGAAAATACAAAGAATAGAGACTTCATGAAACATAAGTTTGCGATTTTCTGTTTGCACAAATGTTAAATAAACTGCCTATTTTGCATATATGATAAGAAAATTTAAACTTTTAAATATTTTGTTTTTCAAGTTATAACCTTCAACTAAAACGAACTTGTCAAAAGAAAAATTAAAATTGTAAAGTTTTCGAATTATGTCTCCAAATTTTAACCAAAACAATCTTGTGTGTTTGCATTTTACAAATAAATGAAGATTGTCGTGTAACTGATCATTATATAAACAGAAGGGATTGTTACAAAATTTCCATTTGAATAAATTATACCTATTTGGTAATAAGTTGTGTAATAACTTAAAATTGAATTTTGATATTTTGTTTTCTTTCATAGCTTGTAAATTAAATGACCATATAACTTTCCAGTCGATTTTTTCTGCACTATTTAACATTTCTTCCCATTTCTCTTCGATTGGAGGTCTAACAATAATGAATAGACAACGTAGAGTAAACAAAACTTCGATTTTCGTTTATTGTTAACATTCATTAAAACATTTTTCATGACACCTTCATTTTCTTCCTGTGTCGCATCATATACATTTACCTGTCTTAACATATTCTGTTTCCAAACTTTGGGAATCGCATTTACTATGATGTAATATTCTTGAAACAAAGAAGCATGTTTTTTTTCTAAAATATTTCTTCACTTTCTGTCAAAGACACAAATCTAGAGTTTATTACGACATCATTAATTCTCAAAAGGCCTACATCTACCCATTTTTTTTTTAAATAATACTTTTTTGTTATGATCTCTTATATTTGAGTTAAACCATATGTCTTCACTTCTAACATCAGTACATTGTAAATCAATTGGCGTATTACTTTTTACTATCTCTTTAAAGTCAAACCAAGTATATACCATATTTTTGTAATATTGTGGCATTTTTATATTCTTTAAACAAAACTTCATATCATCTTTTGTACATTTACTATATATTTAACACATATTGTAAATTGCCTACTTTTTTAAAGAAACCATCAATTATCTTTTTCCACTTTGAGTTTTCGTAGGAGAAGTAGCAAAACTTTTTAACAGAGCATTCAAATCAACCATTTTTAATCCTCCATAATCATAACTCATACAAACCACTTTTCTTTTTCTTTTTTCCATTACACAAAAATGTATAAAGTAAACAATCAATGTGTTTCATTACATTTTCCGGAATGGAAATCATTTGAGCATTGTATATAATTTAAGAAACAAGGAATGATTTGATTATAGTTATTTTACCAGAAAAAATTAAGCGCCTCGCTTTCCATAGACGTACTATATTTTCAATCTTTGATATTTTGGGTTTCCAATTAAGATTTATTAGGTATTGTTCATTTTTTCCGGAATGAACCCCTAATATTTTGCGTCAGAATAGGTCCATGGAATGCCATAAATGCTTTCAACAATGGTGTCTCCATTAATGTTAACTATGGAACTCTTTGATTTATTCAGCTCTAAACCAGAAAATAAACCGAAATGTTTTATCTGCTTTATATCTTTTTTTTTAAGATTTTGTGTCTTTAATAAACAAAAATACAGTTGCGATTAATCCCGCCAACCAATAGCGTACGCAGGATTTTTTTTCGGGGGGGGGGTTAAAATTAGAAAGTCGCGCCGAAAATTTCGCAACGACTCAGCTAGCCGCTGAATAAGTGGGGGGAGGAGGGGAGGGGGAGGGGGTAGGAGCACATATTATTTTTGTTTGTCCCGGAAATTGGAAAATTATGCCTAACGATATTTTTTGGGGTCATATTTTAGCACTTTAAAAAAAAAAAATTATTACATTTTTTTTTTGAAGGGGGGGGGGGGGGGTTGACAATTGCCCCCCAAATATAATTCAAACGTGGTTTATATATAATTCGATACCGGTGATTTACAAATGTTGCTGAAATGACATAATGTTCCGAGATTTTTCCTCAATGTTTAGTAAAAATTGTAATTTTTTAAGTGCGTTTGTTGAAAAATGGCAAATTCATAAAGAAAGAAAGAAAAAAAAATAATAAGGTGTCAAATTTTGCTCATCTGACCGTGATTAAATGCCTAAAACCCCTGAGCTTCCGGAAGCTCTGCCCCCTGGATTCCACCTAAGGCCCTAAGGCGGGCACCTGGATGCTCATCTGACGGTAATTTAATGCCTAAAACCCCTAAGCTCCTGAGGGGCTCCGTCCCTTGGACCCCACATCAATTAGTGACCTGCCAGTGTCACAAATAAGGTATCAAAATATGCTCATCTGACCGTAATTAAATGCCTAAAACCCCTGACTTCCGGTGGCTCTGCCCCCTGGACCCCACCTAGGGCCCTAAGGTGGACCCCTGGATGCTAATCTGATGGTAATTTAATGTTTAAAACCCCTGAGCTTCTGGGGTCTCCGCCCCCTGGACCTCACGCCAATAAGTGTCCTGCCAGTGTCACAAATAAGGTATCAAAATATGTTCATCTGACCGTAATTAAATGCCTAAAACCTCTAAAACCCCTGGGCTTCCAGAGCTCCGACCCCTCGACCCCACCAGGGGCCCTAAGGCGGGCCCCTGCATGCTAATCTGACCGTTAAAACATTCCTAAAACCCGTGAGCTTCTAAGGGCTTCGTTCCGTGGACCCCACGCTAATTAGTGACCTGCTAGTGTCACAAAGGTATCACAATATAATGCACATTTGACCGTAATTTATTGCCCCAATCCCCTGAGCTTCCGGGGGCTCCTCCCCTGGACCCCACGCCAATTCATAGCCTGTCAGTGTCACAAATAAGGTATCAAACTATGCTCATCTGACAGTAATTTAATGTATAAAACCCCTGAGCTTCTGGGGGCTCCGCTCCCTGGACCCCACATCAATTTGTGTCCTGTGAGTGTCACAAATAAGGTATCAAAATATGCTCATATGACCGTAATTAAATGCCTATACCTCCGAGCTTCTGGGGGCTCCACCCCTTGACCCCCGCAGGGGGCTTCGCCCCTAGACCCCATGTCAATTTACGCAATTACGCTCTACCTGATCGTAAATACCTACCCCCCCCCCCCCCACCTACTTGGAGAAACGTTCAGTGGGGCCTGCATGTAAGAATGGGGTGGTGCGGATTTTCTTGTCTACCCCCCCCCCCCCCCGTCCCCAACCGTTTTTGCTCATTTCGCCCCTGCCGATGTCACCGTTACGTACCAATATTTGGCTCGCATAAGTTTCAAATTTGGCCGTTAGGACGTTAGGATACTAGATAGTCTCCCCCCTCAAATTTCAATTGAAAACATTTTGAGGGGGAGACCAGGGCCAGACGTCAGCTGCATGGATTATAGCGAGATCGACGCTCCTACCATGGTCCTACCCCGGGGCTCCTAACCGACTTAAAGGGGCATATCAAATCACATTCTTTGGGAAAATCCCGTGATTGCCTCATATAGGTATGTCAAAAATTAGAGGGGGAGTCAAAGATAATACATTTGCAGTCAGTGGCGTAATGAGCAAAAACGTTTTGGGGGCAGGAGAAAAAAATCCGCACCCCCTCTAATCTAACATGTTACATGAGGCCCATCGGAACGTTTTCAAAGTGGGGGGGGGGGGGGCTAAATTATTTTACGATCAGGAAGAGCGTAGCAAGTGAAGCAAGTGAAGCGTAAATTGGCGTGGGTCGAGGGGCAAAGGCCCGGCGGGGATCAAAGGGCGGAGCCCCCGGAAGCTCAGGGGTTTTAGGCATTCAATTACGGTCAAATGAGCATGTACTAACTTTGATACCTTACTTTGTAACACCTGCAGGTTACTTATTGGCTTGGGTAAAGGGGCGGAGCCCCCAGAAGCTCAAGGGTTTTATGCAATACATTACGGTCAGATGAGCATCCAGGGGCCCGTCTTAGGGCCCTTGGTGGCCGAGTCCAGGGGGCAGAGCCCCCGGAAGCTCAGGGGGTTTAGGTATATTTTAATTACTGTCGGATGAGCATATTTTGATACCTTGTGACACAGGAAGGTTACTACAAAGGTCAACTGCCCCCCCCCCCCCCCTTTAGTACGTCGAGTTTTTTGTTTGCAAGCACAGACCCTAATTAGACACTTTATCCAAAAAAAAAATCATTGTGCATTCAGAGAAGCCTAGCCCAGCCTACCCACTGCCATGTGCAGCTGAGTCTGAAATAAAGTTCTGAATTGAATTGAATTGTGTCCAGTGTCAGGAGCAGTTATAGTACATGGCCTATGGTAGTCTTATAGTGCAGGCTCTCTTTTACAACTGACCTGGGTTTGTGCCTGCAAATTAACTAGCACCCACCCGCCCCATCCCATTCAGCTATGGCAAAATCGATTTTGCCTTTTTATATTTGTCTTTCAGCTACACCTTCAACAGAGAGAATCTCGTGAAACGCGAAAGGACGCACGTGTGTCTTTATTTCTTCTGTTATTTCTCTATCTTTGGAGTAAGTATGATATAAACATGTTCATCGGTAATTGTATGAATGATTCTAATCAGATTTGTCATTATTTTTGTTCATTCTAAGATGTGTTTATCAAATCCGCGTTAAAGAAAGTCGCCGTGTTGTAAGGGTAGTCCCATACACTAAATTTGTTGCTGTTAAATCTACTAGTCAGTACTAGGCCTAGGGGCGCTGGTCCGAGAATAAGGATCGTCTTCATAAACGGAGATCGTCTTTGTAAACGCGGACCAATGCGTCCTCTAAAACAAGGATCATTTGCAAAAAAAGCAGATGTTCCATATTTTTGATCGGCACATTGGCGATGCAAAAAACGGATTCCGGGATGATTTTCTTGATTTGATAGACCCTAGATAAAGTACCCGGTTTTCGGCCACTTAAGACAAAATCCTATTTATTGGACTCTTTACTTCCTATTTATTATCATTTCTTGTTCAAATCATGGCGCAAATATTATTATTATTTAAACAAAAAAAGAATCCCAAAAAAAAATCACGAATTGCCATGACAATATTCATTTCAATTTTCACTGTTTTGGAGCCGGTTATCGGCCGAGCGTTTCAGTTTACGGCCGCATGTACAAAGTCAATAGGAAGCGCTCGCGCGCGCCGTGCGTTTCTGCGCTGATGTATAGCACAAGCGGGCGGAGCAGGTATCCCACGCCGGAGCTCCCGGGTGCTCGCCTGACCGAATACAGGCACAGCGGTGATCGGAAGTTGGAATCTGAATTAGACAGACATATCGTGTGTGCGTCGCGGTGTGCGGCTGCATTGATTTAATACATGCGATGAGATACTTTTGAGCTTGCGACCAGTACAAAATCGGGCTCTATATCTGAAAAATACTTGAAATAAAGCTCATTTTATGGTACCCATATTTCTTACATACACGCGTAAGAAACTCGATTTTTCAGATTTGGGTAGCGGGACCGCCGATTACATCGCTAAAATGTGATATTTTAGGATATATTTTTCATTGCAAATGTGGTTCTTCAGTGACACTGGCATGGTATGGTATGTGTGGGATATGTGTTATGCTATTATGCGATGTATTTTAAAGTGATTTTACCATGTATCCAACCAATTGGCCGAAAACCGGAGCTGACCGATTACCGGGTACTTTACTCTACATTTTAATTTTTTTTTACATTGTCGTTGACTAAGTTTGTACAGAGACCTTCACATTATGAGCAATAAATCCTTGGAAAGACGGACAACCCATAAAAGTAGACGGTCAACTAGGGTTATTTTCCCCTGGGGTATCCAAATTTGGCATTGTCAGCGGGCGGTTCGGCGAAACCCGCAGAGCGCCGATGAAAAAAAACGTCCACGAAAATGCAGACGATCCTTGTTTATGAGGACGCATTTTGTCCGCGTAGAGTAAAGGAGCCGGTAATCGACCAGCTCCAGTTTTCGGCCGATTGGTTGGATGCATGGTAAAATCCCATTAAAATACATGGCATAATAGTATCTAGGGTGTCTGAATGATTTTTCAATTTTCAATTTGGGATTGTTTTTCACCATTTTTGTTTGATATTTGAATAAAAAATGTTATCAGAATAATACATTTCAAATTTCAAGTCTCACCGATGTTTCTATCAAAAGTTACAGCCCCTCCAAAACGCTGGTATATTCATATCATTTTGGTCAAAATCGACGAAAAAGACGTCCACGCAGAGTGATGTTGTTTTGCTAAATTTAGCCAAACGGCTGTATCGCGCGATATGCAAGCGTATGCATATCGTACGCATGCTGCTAAGCCAATCCGCGACTTGCAGCTTGAGCTACGCTGTCTCCGCGACATGTGCCATTGACTAGTATGGTTGGCGTTCGTCGCACAATAAACCCGGAAGTGAATGCACGTTATAGTCAATGGCAATATCGCGGAGATGTCTCCGCGATATTGCCATTGACTATAACGTGTATTCACTTCCGGGTTTATCGACGAGATGTCTCCGCGATATTGCCATTGACTATAACGTGTATTCACTTCCGGGTTTATCGAGGGAATTGCCAACCATAATTTCAGTCACTATAATGTGTAATTGAATTTGGGGTTTCGTTCGTGCGCGGAGATGTTACGCGATGTAACCATGGTTTGGACTGAGCGGAGCGCACGCCCCCTAATTAGCTGATCCACCAAATAGCGAGAAGGGTATTTTTAAACTGTTATCAGTTGTGATCCCTGGGGGCTAGCGAAAATATAATCACATAGAATTGTTCCTTAGGACTGGGACTACTTATCGATCGGGGCGTCATATCTCAAAAGTGACAAACCTCAGAGTTAGCCAGGACACAATGTTTAAATTGCTGTTTTGACCAAGATATTTTTAAAATTTCGGGGGCTACGCCCCTTTGGAAATATTGGAATTCACCTGCTCTTTCATATGACACCTCATTCATTGATTATCACCTTCAGGATCACAACAGATAAAGGTTTGAATCTCGATTTGAAAAAAAAAATTTGACTTTTTTTGCATGGTCGCGCAATGCACGTAGGCTGCATAGGGATGCGTGTAATCTCTATGGGAAGAATTTTAGCACACAACATCGGGTGCGCGATCAGACACCCTAATAATAGCACAACACATATCCCACACATACCATACCATGCCAGTGTAGCCTTAAGGGCTCTCTCGAAATGTTTTTTTAATGAAAAAAAACATTTCGAGAGAGCCCTTAAGGCTATGCCAGTGTCACTGAAGAACCACATTTGCAATGAAAAATATATCCTAAAATATCACATTTTAGCGATGTAATCGGCGGTCCCGCTACCCGAATCTGAAAAATTGAGTATCTTACGCGTGTCTGTAAGAAATAGAGTAGTGGCTCCGGTCTGCGGCCGATCAGCGGGAACTGCCGATTCTATTTTTATGCAAATACTCACAGAATACTTCAATACCCTCAATAAAGAGTCCATATACTTACTTATTAAATAGAAGTCACAAATAACCTAACTGACCCACAGCGTGGTCAGCATTGACCACGTTTCAAAATGCTTCGAGTTCCCCGGTTTGTGGGCACGCGTACGTCACAAAGCTTTATGCGCTACGTTACGATCAAAGCATGTACCAAATTACTACGTGTAACCCAAATTCTCATGTTTATCTGTTGCTACGGTAAATTTGTCAAGTTTGAAACAATTTCACCTTTTCCTCGAATTGATCATCCCATACGGGGGTACGTACTACTAGAAACTATCGGGTCATAGCGGGTACACACATCAGCACACATACCATCATACACGATCCCGCATGTTATGTGTGTATTAACACCCCCCGCCGCAAACCAGAAAAACACGTAATTACGTGCCGGTTTGCGGCCACCCCATGCAACTGGCCATGCGGTGGCACAATCAAAATATCTGCGATAGGAGACAGACCACAGCCATCATACTTCCACAAAAACATCAAATTTCACCTCCAATCGGACAAATAGAGCTACAATATAAATCTAGTCATGCCTCGATCTCTTAACTTAAAAGTTAGCACCTGCTGGAATTTGCATCGGCGACTGGTGCCGTAGATTTCCGACATCGCTGATGGATACTCCGTACCGACAGGAGCATCTGCTACGGACGTTTTCGGCAAAGCAGAACTTACCGGGGAATCCACGGTAGGTTTCAATGATTATTATCGAGTCATATTCATTTTATTTTTAAAACAAATACCCCTGGCCGCAAACCGGGCTTTGCCGCAAACCGGAGACTCTACTCTATGGGTACCATAAAATGAGCTTTATTTCAAGTATTTTTCAGATTTAGAGCCCGATTTTGTGCTAGTCGCAAGCTCAAAAGTATCTCATCGCATGTATTAAATCAATGCAGCCGCACACCGCAACGCACACACGATATCTCTGTCTAATTCGGATTCCAATTTCTGATCACGGTAGTACTAGTTTTCGGCCTGGCGAGCTCCGGGGAGCTCCGGCGTGGGATACCTGCTCCGCCCGCTAGTGCTATAGATCAGCGCGGAAACGCACGGTGCGCGCGCGCGCTTCCTATTGACTTATGTATGCGGCCGAAAACTGACTCCAAAACAGTGAAAATTGAAATGAATATTGTCATGGCAATTCGTGATTTTTTTCTGGGATTCTTTTTTTGTTTAAATAATAACAATCTTTGCTTCATGATTTGAACAAGAAATGATAATAAATAGGAAGTAAAGGGTCCAAAAAATAGGATTTTGTCTTAAGTGCCCGAAAACCGGCTCCTTTACTCTATATGAGGATATCCTCGTTTATGAGGACGATCCTCATTCTCGGACCAGCGCCCCTACTGCTATTAGTAGTCGCACATAGCTGCATCGCAATCCAAAATCAGACACGTATCCAAAATTTGATCTGTAACTGCAGCGTGGAGATACCCTACTAAAACATACCCAAAATGAAGTAAATATTCATTAAATGTCCAAATAAAGATCATGATTTAAAATTGTTTATGTGTATTTTGTTTCATGTCAATTTTCTTGTTATTTTTGGAGTTTTTTTCGAAAAAACATTGATAATAGAGTACACTTTTTCACAGGTTTCACTGCAACCCACTGCACAATACATGAGCATACCGTAATGAGGATCTGATAATGAGACGCGCGCCCGTAACCCACCATCAGAATGCACTTGTATTCTGCAGCGGTTTGCCGTGAAACCTGAGAAAATGTGTATACTAATACTCTATACATCGGTTCCACTTACCGACTTGACTGAATAAATCCATTTATTGGTCCCTTTTCTGAAAATTATAGGTCGAAATCGACATCCATGTTGATTATCTGGCAGCCGTCTTTTAAACTCTCGCTGCGCATGACGTCATCTAAATCTCATTCTTTCTAGTCTACCCGCAAGGCAAAATGATTATGAAGGAAAAACTGTGATAACTTCATTACAAACTTGTAGCTCATGCACTATTTTTCCTTCATAGCATTACTAGTACTACTTAAGTTAAATACTAGTACATTGGAAGCCATGATGGTGATTGATAACAGTGCAAGTCCTTTACCATTTGCTCTCATATTTATTTCTTTTCACAGAGCTGGAGTGATTTTGCATCATGGATGATGAAGTTGGAGAAGGTGTGGAGGAGTCCAGTGTTGCCAATTTCGGAAAACGGCCTCCCGGGATAAAGAACAGATTGCCTTCTAAGAAACAAAAACTGAATAAAGCCGAGCTGTACAAACCTCCCACCATGACAGAACTTGCTTCTCTAAAAGAGACAGAGATGCTTTACAACTCAAGCTTGTTCAAGTTACAGGTATGTACAGGGGCCCATTCCTTGAAACCGTCGTAAGTCTAACTTCTTGACTATCCCATTGAAACGTGTATTATAGATTACCAGTAACACACGTTTCAATGGGATAGTCAAAAAGTTAGACTAATGACGGTTTCAAGGAACAGGCCCCAGTCTCTAGTTTAATTTTCCTGTTAGGTGATGTCGACCAATAGCCCAGTTTACTATCATATTCAAATTTAATGCATACTAATTACTATTTAAACAAAAATTTTCTTGACAACCTAAAATTTTGCCCAAGGCTTGCTCAAGATAGCGCCAAGTAATGTATGCAGACTGGATTTGAAGTATTGAAGTTCATCATTGATAATGGGTATATGGAATAACGCATCACTAGGTCCCCAGGATAGAAACATCCATAAATTTGAATATGTTTCAGGTTACAGTTTTGTTATAGTTTAAGTTTATTATTCGGTTTAAGGTTAGATATAGTGTTCAGACCAGGTTTAAAGTTAATATTGACCAGAACATGTGTTGTACAGCCCGTAATCTAGATCTCATTTACATAAAAATTGACCTAGAAACAAATCTCTATTATCCTGTTTATTGGAATTTTTCATGAGAGAAAAGTGATGATCTGAGAATGATATGTGTTCATTTATAATACAAAATATTAACATTAATTGAAAAGTGTACTTATATTTTATAATTATCAGGATATAAAAACAGTTTCCTTTGATTCTGTATAACATTTTCCAGAATATCCCCTGTTGAATTTCTTTTGATTTGTGTTTTGTTGTTTTTTTGCTTTAGAATGAATTTAATAAGATGATAATACTGAGGTAGTCATTAGAAACAACTCATACTCTTGAGTAAACTTCCAAAAATTGTTGATTTCTGCCGATTAGTCTCATGGTTTCTCTTTCTGTCAATCTCTTTATGTCCAAATTAGATGGATGAGCTTCGCATGGAGGTCGAGTTGAAAGAGAAGAAGAAGAAGGGTTTACTGCCTATTCTTCAGTCACTGGAAGAAATCTTGCGCAAGCTGCCACCAATGACCATCCCAGATGTGAGTAATGGTGGTCTTGCTAAATATATTACTCATTGCGGATGTAGTATCAAAAATAGTATCGCTAGTGATATTCGTTTGTCTCGCAATGTATGATCAACAAGGGATCTAAAAGATCATGATCACTTGAGCACTATTGTGCTTCGGCCAATAGGCCTTGTCGGTTATTGATCAAATTATTTGACCTACGGATCCGCCCATAGAGTATAAAACACACTTACATTATATTTTACTACCTGACAAAGTGTTGCAGCAGCGCACAAAATGTTGCGAGACAAGCAAATATATCTAGCAATATTATTTTCAATGTTAGTCTTGTTATCTGTATCGGGGGAGCTACAGTTTGGTATATTAACCGATTGCCTTCGGGAACCGGCAGGCCCCTGTATTGAATGCCTATGTGAATCCGAGAATTCAGTTGTCAACATGTTAACTTAATGCTTTGATCGTATATATACGAAAATCTTAGATGTGGTAAATAACATATAATGGGATGAAATAGTCCTTTTTTTGTAGATGTATTCCTGTACATAAAAACTAAGAGAAACTTTTAGTAATTGTGGACTGAATAAAAGGAAAGTGAGAAAAAGATAAATCTGATCACTTTCATTTTTTTCATTTTATTGAAATGAAAGTAATATACTTACCGGTATATAAAAATCTATCTCACCTGCCTGAAATAATTCATCCTTAAAAAAAATTGAAGCGAAAAAGTTAGCGATTCCACAGAATACTGTCATCAAAATAGATATACAATTTAGGATTGTGTAGCCTTGAAGAGAGCGTAATTAACACAAAGAGAAGAACTGAAGTTCTGAACCAAGTTTTTCAATTATCTTGTAATAATAGGCATCAGAACTAGAAGGCTCCCTGCCCAAGAATGTGTGTTTGCCGATGCGATGGAAGAAGACCCAACTCAAAGGAGAAATCAAATTACGCAAGCCATTGGAAGTCAAGATCATCGGTAGCTATCTCCTCGGAACCTGTCTGAACGATCCTCTGACCATCGACATGGCCGTCCAAATACCAACTGTGAGTATCTTAAAAAACCAACAGAACTTGCTGGTCTTTTTTTTGGAGTTGGAGTTGGATGATTCTCTTTCAGGAAAGGTCACACCTGACTTATTGTATCCCAGCTCTGTCTACTGGTTAATTTCATATCACGGGAAGAAAGTTTGTTGCCGGAAATCAGGGTTAGCTTCAAATAACCGATTAACTCAATCATGATCAGACTCAAATAAATTAGTGGATTCCACATCATACTTAGAGATTACTATGTGCTATCTTATTACCCATTTCATTCTTTTCTTCCCCTCCCCCCTTTTTATGCCTCCGTTACGAAGTAGCCGGAGGCATTATGTTTTCGGGTTGTCCGTCCGTCCGTACGTCCGTACGTCCCGTTCTCGTGATCGCGTTATCTGAAGAACCGATTGATGGATTCCTGCCAAACTTTGGTCATGTATGTATCTTGCAGAGCCGATGAACTGATTAGATTTTGGGGTCACGAGGTCAAAGGTCAAAGGTCACAGGACTCATTATGTATGCAAAAACAGCTCGTGATCGCGTTATCTCAAGAACCGATTGATGGATTCCTGCCAAACTTAGGTCATGTATGTTACTTGCAGAGCCGATGAACTGATTAGATTTTGGGGTCTTGGTCAAGGTCAAAGGTCATGCGGCTCATTATGTATGCAAAAAATAACTTGTGATAGCATTATCATTAGAACAGATTGATGAATTCCTGCCAAACTTAGATCATGGATGTATCTTGCAGAGCCAATGAACTGAGTAGATTCTTGGGTCATGAGGTCAAAGGTCAAATGTCATGGGCTCATTATGTATGCAAAAATAGCTTGTGAACGCATTCTCATTAGAACTGACAGATGGATTACTATTTAACTCAGGACATCTTGCAGAGCCAATGAACTGAGTACATTTTAGGGTCATGAGGTCAAAGATCAAAGGGTCATATATGTATATGAGAAATTGCTTTTTGGTTTGTAAACTTGCTCTATGACGGAGGCATCATTTTCGACTGCGCGCAGTCTAAGTTCCATCTAGTTTCCTTTTCAATATGCAATGAAATTTAACAATATGAATGTAAGTGTAAAACAATATGATTATTCGTTTATTTTTATGCAAACAAATGTAACGCATATTCTGTAAGTTATTGTGTTTTCTGACCAACAAAAATTATCAAGATAAAGGGGGGAAAATGTAATAAAATCAATGGTTCTTTAGCTTTAGCATTTAGACTGTCTATCCACCATCCTAGTCAAGCATCGCTTATGATTGCGGTCTCCTGCACTTTTTCAATAGATAGTTTGGATAATACTTTAAATTTTATGCTAATATGTTATGGAAATATTAAGTTTCGTTATTATATGTACATATGTTTTTAAAAAATCCATTTTGACATGAAGTAATTATTGGTTGTACATGTTGTATTATACCTTAAATTTATATGTTCTTTGTTATTCAGTTATATTTTATTTGGAAAATGCAGAAATAAAATAAAATCATCACACATTTCTTAACCTTGTTCGATGCAGGAATGTTTCCAACCCAAGGATTATCTCAACTTCCGTTACCACCACAAGAGGGCGCTCTACTGCATGTATCTCGTGAAACACCTCAAGAAGAAGAAGGATCTCGTCAAGAGTGTGTCGTATGGATCGCTTCAAGGGGATCACATGACTCCCGTCATACTTCTGAAGTTAGTCGGTAAGTCTCGGCATCTTCCCTATTTCACAGAGTTTTTTTATCTGCTTTAAGATTTCCTGTTATCCTGTAATATTAACCCTGTATTTGAATTATTTTTTCCCCATTTTATCAAGTCAGATTTTTGGGTGGGCTAAGCATTTAAATGTGTGTTTCCCTAGATTGTTAAAGCTCTACTGCACTACTTATAGCTACTTGAGCCCTCTATATAACAAACAATGCCCTATCAGTGACCATTGGTCCTCCATGATCCTCTTTTTATGCCTCCGTTACGAAGTAGCCGGAGGCATTATGTTTTCGGGTTGTCCGTCCGTCCCATTCTCGTGATCGCGTTATCTCAATAACCGAGTGATAGATTCCTACCAAACTTTGGTCATGTATGTATCTCACAGAGCCAATGAACTGATTAGATTTTGGGGTCACGAGATCCAAGGTCAAAGGTCACAGGGCTCATTATGTATGCGAAAATGACTCGTGATCGCGTTATCTCAAGAACTGATTGATGGATTCCTGCCAAACTTAAGTCATGTATGTATCTTGCAGAGCCAATGAATTGATAAGATTTTGGGGTCACAAGGTCGAAGGTCAAAGGTCACAGGGCTCATTATGTATGCAAAAATAGCTTGTGATCGCATTATCATGAGAACCAATAGACAGATTACTATCAAACTCAAGTCATGTATGTATCTTGCAGAGCCAATGAACTGATTAGATTTTGGGGTCACCAGGTCGGAGGTCAAAGGTCACATAGCTCATTATGTATGCCTATAAATAGCTTGTGCATGCATTATCATTAAAACCAACAGATGGATTACAATCAAACTTGAATTTAAAAATTGTTTCTGTTTTGGTTTGTAAAATTGCTCTATGGCGGAGGCATCATTTGTGACTGCGTGCAGTCAAAGTTCCATCTAGTTCTTATGTTAATTGAGAGCTGATTTGATGAGATAGCCACCTGTTCAGTGACCTTGCAGGGTGGTCTAATCCCTCCTGTACACTAGTACAGATGGGCTTTATTGTTGCAGAGTTGTTCTGTCATGTACTGGAGCAGTCACGTGCTAACAATATTGTTTGTTTGTTTTCTTCTTGCTCCATCTGTATATGACGGCTGCAGGCAAGAATGCTACAGTGAGACTCATACCGTGCCTTCCCGAGACTGGCTTCAAAGAGGCAAGATTTGCTCCCTCTAAGAACAACATCCGGCAGCAGTGGTACAACCAAAATAGTGAAGAAGGTAAATTTTAACATTATAGTCTATTTATCTTAACTAGGCAGAAGGATGCTAACACCAATTTGTTATCTAATCTCTAAACCCTTCAGTTTTAACTAATTTTATATGACAGGAAGAAAGTTTGTTCCAAAAAGCAATGGTAAGCTTTAAAAAACTGACCAACTCAATCACAATTACATCAAATTGTGAAGGAGGTATATTTTAACATTGTAGTCTATTCATGTACTTTCGACAGAAGGGTGCTAACTGCTAACGCCAATTTTTATCAAATTACTAATCCCTAGAGTTTTAATTGCTATAAGAAGTAGCTGTGTTAGTTTGAAGTGTTAATATCATATTCGCTTGTAATCCAGATTACTGGTTCCAAACAACAGAGCCTGCCCATGAGGTTCAACACGAATTCATTCAAGCAAGGGGCTGGATGACGTTACACTTTGGTACTATATCATTGTATAAATGCTTGAGTGCCATATCATGGCGCCTAGAATGAAGCTGGGCTGATGATACTTGTGTTAAAGATAAACTTGAGTTCCGGTAATAAAAAGAAAACGACTTCTCACAGAATAAAACAAAACTTACACTGAATTTTCAAGTTCTGGCCCTGAATTGTGGAACTCACCCCCTACAAACCTCCGAAATGAGAACTCCTACTCACAGTTCAAGTCTTTGTTAAAAACGTTTCTGATATTAGTTTGTTTAAAGTGACTCAGTAACATTGTTGAAGGTTGATGAAAAAAATCTGTAATTTTTTTATGAAATGTTACTTATTATATTCCTTCTACTGTTTTTACCCTCTAACACGCAAAAAATCCTGAGAAAATTCTCAAACCACAAAAATATTTATGGTTTTCTTTGAAGGTATCACTGTGCAACACACTCTAACAGTGATAACGGTAACAGTTAATTCTCCCAACCATTTTTTGAATTTTCCCAACTGTTTTTCCTTGAATTTAAGACGTGAGACAGTATTTTAAAAATCTTTCAACACTGTCTGGAATGGTATAAAGAGCCAATTTATTGCTTTGTGACGATTTACATTCACGTACATGTAGCATTGAAGGCACTACCTTAGCACCATTTCCTCTCATCTGAACAATGCTACCAATTCCCCTTTAAAGGTAAAGACCAGTATTGGAAACGCCCCAATTTCAAAAAATGAAATGGAAGCTCTTATTACCAATCATGTGAAAGAATGTGTTTTGACTAATACATGATGATAAAAAATTTGTCGGGAAACCGCCTACTAAATCATATATTTGATAAATTTGTTTCTCTCATGGTCTGTGAGAGATATAGGGTAGTCCCATATACATCTTTCTGTGTATAGTGCTTGTAACTTTACGAAGAATGGGCCAAATTTCTTATCATTTTGATGATTCCAGAACCTTGCAGATGCTAGATGCTAGATGATCAACCTTTTCTGATCGATTCCACAACGTTTCTTTCACAATGCAATCGCATGACCATAACTGGTCTTTACCTTTAAGATAACTATTGTTATAATCCCTTCACTCTTTTATGTGCTTTCAGAGACCTTCCCTCCCACCCCACACTACAACTTCTCCATTCTACGAGACATGTCGTTAGAGCGCCACCTGCACCACCTCTACAACGCATCCTACGACTTCCCAGCATTCAAAGACGCTGTTCTGCTTCTCAAGGTCTGGCTGCACCAAAGAGAACTAGACCAGGTAGGAACACATTGAGTGATTTCAAGTTGGGTGTTAGTGTTAGTGTTTAGAGCAGTTAAGATGTCTTAAATCGAGCTAAAAATTTGATGATGAAATTAAGAGCCCGATACCGATATCAATATCGATAGTTTACCACCCGTAAACACCACTGTGATAGCGCTACACAGACTTGATTTCACGACAATGGTTTAAAAATAGTACATCAGAACTATTTGCATGAAAAGCAAAGAATAAATTTACACTTATTTCTCTGGTCTTATAAAATAACTCATTATACACAAAAGAATGTATGAATCACTTAGTAAAAGACATGTTTCACATATTTCCATTTGATTGTCAGACAATAAATTAGCATCGTTCGTGGGTTGACTGTTGTGCGGGTACAATGGTAACACCGAACTGGAAATCAAAATTTGCTTAATCCCAGGGGCTAGTGTTAGTGGATAGGACATTTGTACGTAAAATATTAACACCAGCCACAAAGGTCGGTTCAGCAGACGACAATTTTGCAAAATCGATAACACTAGCTACCGGAAGTTGACGATATTCAGAGGTCAAAGCCTTAACACCAGCTGATTTTCATTTCCGTGTTTGGGGCTGGTGTTAGTGTTTATTAAACCCTAGCAGTCGAAGGTCCATCTAGTTTTGTTTATCTGTGTGATTCTCCTCTAGATCTGCGGTGGCTGCAATGGTTTTCTTATCTCCATGGTGGTAGCTCACCTCTTGGACAATGGTCAAGTCAACAAAGTGATGAGTGGACAACAGGTGGTCAAGAATGTACTGCATTTCATCGGTGAGTGTGAAATATTAAAGGTCAAACTCAGGAAGGTGAATGAATATAATGTTGAATAATTAGGTTAATCTTGGTATTTATTTTGCTTTAATGAATACTTGATTAGAATAAAAAGAATGATGTGTACAAACTTAATTTGGTTTTAATTTTCTCTCAAAGTGTTGTCTATATTTTGAATGGTGGTGTCTCCACTCTCTTTCTATCTATCTTTCTCTTCTTTTTTTGCCTTCTCTCTCTCTCTCTATCTATTCTTTCTCTCTTTCTCTCCCTCTCTCTCTATCTATTCTTTCTCTCTCTTTCTCTCTCTCTATCTTTCTCTATCTTTCTCTCTCTCTCTCTCTCTCTCTCTATCTCTATCTATTCTTTCTTTCTCTCTCTCTCTCTCTCTATCTAGTCTTTCTCTCTCTCTCTCTCTCTTTAGTCTTTCTCTCTCTCTCTCTCTTTCTATTCTTTCTCTCTCTTTCTCTCTCTATTCTTTCTCTCTCTCTCTAACTCTCTCTCTCTATCTCTATCTATTCTTTCTCTTTCTCTCTCATGTTCCCTGTTATTGTTTTTTATATTAGTTTCACGCCTCTCCCATTCATGCTCCATGTCTCTCCCATTCACCCTCTATTTCTCGTCTCTCACTTCGCCAACATTTAGTCACGACCGACTGGGCATCCAAGGGTGTCACCATGTGCAAGAGCTCCAACTCCCAGACGCTACCAGGGCTGGAGGAATTCCATCAGCATTTCCCTGTTGTGTTTGTAGATCCATCGGGCTACCTCAATCTGTGTGCGGACATGACTGGAACCACATATGAACATGTGAGAAAGTTCTTGTAAATCATCTTCCCTTACACTGTTATGAAAACCTTGTTATCAATGCGAAGTAATACCATGATCGATGTAAGCTACTGAAATCAATTCATTTAATCGGCTGTCAGTGAGTGCCTTTGTTTACAGAATTCTGCCACTTTCTCTTCTTTTTTTTGCCCCCTCTCTCTGTGTCTCTTCCCCCCCCCCCCCCCTCTCTCTCCTCTCTCTCTCTCTCTCTTTCTCTTTCTCTCTCACTCTCTCTCTCTCTCTCGTTGGTTGTTTTGTGGAGCAGGGCGTGATGTTATCAGGTCACTTGCAGATTGTATATGTTCCAAAGCAGATACAGCATTTCCAATAGTACTCACCTCGAGACATTCTAATTCAATATATTGATTACTTTCTCAATGCCAGGTTTGCCCTCAACTCACTCTGTTTTTGGTTGCATTTACGTAAGATTTCATGATAGTAATTTGATAGTATTCAGAAGCTTCCAATCCAATCCAATCCAGGTATTTATAAAGCGCCAATATCTAGTTGCCTAATCAAAGGCGCTGATGAGACTGAAAAACTACCAAAAATGTCAAAAAAGCAGTGATTAATTGTAAGCAATCTGAAATAGGTATGTCTTTAGTTGAGTTCTGAAAGATTCAACTATAGTTTCATGAAGCATGACGATGTGCATGTGTATCATGTTGTCCTTAGAATCAACCCTTTCAAATTTCAGTGTAACCATTGTCGTCACCGTATGTTTATTTAAGGATGTGCACATACAGAAGCTTGGACAGATTGTGATACTTGAAATTATATTGAACCATGGTGTTTCTATCGTCACTGTTGTTCAGAGTTGTAATTTTGCCTACAGTGTTTTGAACTTCATGATATTCTTACTTTACTTCAAACTAGCTGAAGCATGAAGCCAAGTTGGGTCTAGACTTCCTGGATGACAAGAGGATAGATGGCTTCCATTGTCTCTTCATGACACCGGTTCTCTTCACCAGAAAGTTTGATCACCTCTTTACGTGAGTAAAAAGTATGCTTAGGTATTACATCATAAGATTATCAAAAGCAATGTAAAATTCAGACTTTTGGGGGGCCCATTCAATTACTTCAGCTGCTTCAAGAAGTAGTAATGGCTGAGAAATTATCAGATGCAAAGGGATAGCCTCTTACTGTATTTCATTCAAGTATACTGTTAAATAAGGTATCTATAAAACTACCAAGTCCATGCACACTCTACAATCCCACTTTGACTTTAATTTGCAAGGAACGGCTCATGCATACATTTTGTGTTGTCAGGTAGGACAAGCCATAATGTTTGTCTTTTATTTAAAGGAAATGGTGACCTTGATCGACGTTTCAAACACGGATTGCATGAGCCATTCCTTGCAAATTAAAGTCAAAGTGGGATTGTAGAGTGTGCATGGACTTGGTAGTTTTATAGATACCTTATTTAACAGTATACTTGAATTCTGACTATTGAAATACAATTATTCGTAACAGGTGAAGTAAATAATTTGTAATGAGGCACTTATCAAAGGTTTTTGCATTAAATATGATTACATTAAAAAGATTACTCTATTGTACGAGAGATATAAGTCTAGCTATTTAGATGTGACATATTGGAAATAAAGTATGATTTTATGTTTACTTTTAAATGATTGAATCTTATCATTTCCAAGCACGATATTTTATCAATTTGGCAAACTTTTTTTATTCATCCCACTCAATTGTCCACCTCACTTTCAGTATCACCAAGTTGAAGCAGTTGAGACCTTCTGTGAAGAAGTTTGATCTTGAGACTCAGTTGATGGACAGAGGAGGCAACTATCCCCGGGTGGTGCTACCCAGGGTAGAGGAAATCCTTAGGCAAGCTCTTGGAGACAGGATAAAGCTGCTTGCTTCTGGTCTCTTTCACTCTGCAGAGGTAACTCTTCATGGTTTGAGATATAATCGAAATCAAAGATTGTCAGTTTTTCATGCAAGTATTTAGAACTATCAGCATTGAATATCTAGCTGTATGTGTTTCATGTGAATCAGATATATCTTTGCAGGCCTTAAATTTCAATATTTTTAGGGCAAGGTCATTTATCTGTAGGGCACATTCCTATATTACAGCACAAATAGGAAGAATTGGAAAGGGCACAAAAAAAACTCCAAGGCCAATGAGAGGGGCATTGAGGCCAATCAAAGGGGCATCCAAGGTCATGGCCTTGGTGGCCTTGGATTAATCTAAGCCCTGTCTTTGTTTCTGCAATAGACACTTAGTAATTGTAACTTCCCCAGTATTGTGGAGACCCGCAAGTATCAAGGCGAAATTGGTTCTATAAAATGGGAGTTGTACTAATTTATGAGTTGAATTCATTTTGTATTGTGTCCAAAACTATGAGCTTAAAGTATGTTGAAACGCTATGCTTTTAATGTCTTGTTTTTTCCCCTAGTGGCCTGTCAATTCTCCTTCACCCAAGATAGAAGAGCAAGGACCTTTGACCTTTGGCCTCTTACTCAACGGGGGTCTAGCATCTAGTGTGCTTGACAAGGGTCCAGCTGCCAATACAACAGAGGTAGAGAAAAACTGATACTTAGTTATTTCATCTTTTGGTTTGTTGTAGAGAGAAAGAAATTGGTATAATGGCGTTTGATAATGTTTTGTGTATTAACGCAGGACTGTAAATTTATTTTGGTCCGCACTATTTTGAAATGCTAAGTTACAAGAATAATTAAATAATTTGAAAGGCATAGTGGCTTTCTTGTTGTAGATAACATTATGGGATTCAAACAAGGAATACACTGCATCAAATGTACCAGGGTAGAAGAAATGAACCATGCATTAAGAATGTAGCTCTTACATGAAAATACAAAATAGAAAAAAGAATGTAGCTCCCTTTTCATGAACTTTCCTACTTCTGATTAATATATTTGGGACCTTTTACCAACCAAAAGTGAAATATGTTGGTTTGTTTTATATCTTAGCTCCTTCATTATCTGCTAAGGAATGAGATGCCAGACTCTCATGTTGTTATGTAGTGTATGTACTATATACACTTTGTCTGTGACAACAGTTGACTGAGGCAGTTCACTTTTTGTCCCATCAGTCGGTCAAAGCGGGTAAAGACTTAAATGGTTTAATAGTAGTTATTGGTTTGTTCACTTGTATCGTTTCAGGCGAAGGCATTCAGTGAATTCTGGGGGAAGAAGTCAGAATTGCGCCGCTTTCAAGATGGCTCTATCTGTGAGGCTGTGGTATGGCCCGGTACAAGTGTGGCTGAAAAGAGACTAGTCTGTAGTCATATTGTCAGGCACATTCTACACCTGTAAGTATACTCTCGTTTATATGCGTCTCAAGCTCTTCTCCCTCCTTCTCATCTCTCTCTGTTGTTCTCGACATATATGTTTCTCTTCTATTAGTCCTTTTGCATATAAATCTTTGAGTATGTCTCTCATTTCTCTATCTCTTTCTTTACGTTTCTCTCTCTCCAACTTCGGCTGGAATTCACAAAACGATTTTACACCTAAACCATGGTGTAAATCACCAATTCACTGTTGGCAGCCTAAAAGGTGTCAGAAAAATATCAAAAAATAAAGACTAACAAAAATATCCAATGCTCTTTTTTTCTTTAGAAGTAGTTAGAAATAGTAGAAATATGTGTTGCTATTGTATTGACAACTGCATTGTTGGTTAATATTGAGATGGATGATATATGCTTGTAAATGAATCACTCTACCTTTGAAACTGCTCTTAAAATGAAACATGGACTTCTTCTCCCTTGTTTTCTCACCCAGACATGCAGGCATCAAACCGGAATCAATCGCCTACACCGGGGGCCAGCTAGACCCCATCCTCCAGCAGCCCCTACTCCACCCCTCCTCTCCCGGTGGTGATGAGGAGCCGGCCCCACGCACGGGGGAGGAGGAGCTGCTACAGATCAGTGTGGCTTATACCAAGCTGAGCAGGCACCTGAGAGAACTCAAGGACCTGCCTCTTATGATCAGCTCCGTGCAGGGGACCTCACCGGCCATCCGCCATACGGAGGTGAGAAGGAGAGTGATGGATGACAACAACATGGGTAATGGTGGTGGTGGTGGTGGTGATGATGAGTTATGATGGTGGTGATAATTATAGTGATCATAATGATGATGATGATGATGGTGTGGTGATGGTGGTGGTGGTGGTGGTGGTGGTGATGTTGAGTTATGATGGTGGTGGTAATTACAGTGATCATAATGATGATGATGATGGTGGTGGTGGTGGTGGTGGTGGTGGTGGTGGTGGTGGTGGTGCTGATGGTGCTGATGATGATGATGATGATGATGATGATGATGATGATGATGATGATGTTGACGATGACGATGACAACGGTATAGGTAACGTTGAAGCTGTATAAAAATATGAAGTTAATGCGTGATGATGAAGTTGTTCATTACATGTATATATCGTTACTGAAGTTAATAAAGACCTAGTTTTCATCATTTCAAATAAATTCAGTTGAAAATAGTTTACTATTTGAAATTGTAACAAATAAAATTATAAATGTGATCTTTCTATCCACCATCAGGTCTACCCACCATGTGCCGGATGGCCTTCAGATAGATTGAGGACTGCTGGACCATCAGTGCCGGTCAAAATACCCTCAAATGACAAACAATGTCCTACATGGATACCAGCTCTCAGAGGTATGTTGTTCCAAATAGAGATTTAGCTCATTTATAGTTGTGCATTCACAAAAAAACTTTACTTTTCTGGATCTCTACTGGTCTTGTATTTGTTTTCTTGTGAGTGTAGCTACATGTTCTTAAATCCTCATTGATTCCCTTGCAAGTTTAACATGAAGCACATGTTTGTCATTTGTCCTTTTTTCTTTTTGGTCACAAATTCATGGATCTCACTGTAGTACTTTAGTAAGTGAAATTCGTTGGATGTGAGCCTTTGCAGAAATTTGCTATTTTGAAATGATAGCTATGCTATTCATAGAAGTTAATGCAATGAATATTATCAGGAAATGTTGCTATTTACATTTTCCAACTTTTTGAAAAGAAACTGCATTTAAGCATATAAACCCAGATGATCATAAGCCTTGTTCTCACACGCATGTGATGTATTTAAAGCTTATTTTGCAAATTGCAATTCTAAAACCTGATCCTGCTTCTCATGTTTGAACACAGTGGTATGCCACCTAGAGAGCAGTGGCAAGTGGCCCGATGACCTGGAAGCAATACATCACATCAAGACAGCCTTCCACCTCAAGATGGCCGACATGCTTCACAAGCAGTGCAAGCTGGTCACCGTGGCAACTGCTAGCCACATCCTGGCGATTGTGGTAAGAAACAAGGCGCTGCGATTGCATCCCATGATTGTGGCTATTTTGATGAATTGACGCGCATTAACTTTGTACATATTGGCCTGAGATGACTTTAGATGAAATCCATTGCACACATGTGTCAAGAGAAAATTTAAATGTGTCCAGTTGTTTGATTAACTCAAACAAATATTAGAAATCAAATGAATTGGTCATAATTTGACTGGGCTTTCACTGAAGAGTATCCAGTAAATTTCTGCTAATTTTCCAAAAAGTTGGAAAAGGAAAATGCTTATAAATGTCAACAAAATAGACAGTTTATTGTAGGAACTGCATATTGCTTGCTTGCTTGTTCTTCCTTAGCTCAAGAAGGGAGGGAGAGAACATGTGCTCATGCAGAGCCTTTGCTTTTGAAAGCTCTCCTCCCAAGAGATTTGTTATAAAAGATCAGTTGACGTGTTCAAAAAAATCTTTAAAAGTATCGGATCGAATCGGCATATAATTGTCCTCTTTCATATTTGTATGTTCTGTCTCACTCCTGTAGTTCTTTTCTTTGTAATGCAGTTGATTTTGTGTGATTTAAATATTTGCACAAGTGCACCTTCAGCATTTAATTTTCAATTGGATGTGACGCCTTACAAATCCCATCTACTATTATTATGATTATGATTATTATTAAATGAGTTTTTTTCTCCTCAATCTTTCTTTTTTGTGTCGCTTCAGGATGGGTTTGTGTTCCAAGTATCGGTGGCTCACAGGAGAGAGATTGTACTCCTCAAGGAGGTCATCACTAAGGAAGGACTGAGCATGCTCAGAGACAATGAAAGGTCAAAGGTCCTAGAGAGAGAGACTGGTCATCTACCCCATCTCACCAGTCTACTTCACGGGTGAGTATTGGGTTTTAACATTGTCGGATTACTGTATGGGAAGCAGCAGATATACAAAGTGAACTTTTATAGTATTGTAGTTATCATTGTGGGGGGGGGGGGGAGAGTATCTGATAACAAGGCCATCAATGAAGGACTGAGCATGCTCAGAGACATTGAGAGGTCAAAGGTGGTGGAGAGAGAGACTGAACATCTACCCCATCTCACTAGCTTAATTCATGGGTCAGGACAAGGCATTGACCTGTCATGTTAGAAGATTCAAAATAGCATGAACACATTACGTCTAGTTATAGCCCCTTTTGTGGCATTTTATGTGTATAAAGTTCATATTATTGCACAGGTATTGGTTAACTTTGTTTTACGTAGTACGTTAGCGCTTTGTTTTGTCAGTTATGTGATGCTTTGATTGAATGACAGTTATGTAATCATGGCAATCATACAAAAGTAAATCAATACTTTGGACTTAACATTTTTTATACAAATTCTGGTATTTTCATTTGCCAAAAAATGTGTACAATGTAATATGCAATTTAATATTGCATGAACTGAATTGTTTTGAAACTTTTATGGCTTTTCTAACCAAATGATCAAGCTTTAGGGTCTTATATGAGGTCCTCATAATTTTTGAGTTTTGATTTGTTTTTGTTGTTGATTTGTTTCACCAAGTAGCTGTCAATGAGTAGACTACTCGCAAAGCATAAACTCTGTAGTCTTGATCATGTAATAAATATTAAACTCTTCGAAAGAAGATAATACATGCCCGTATTCATAACACAACACCTTGTTGTTCTGTTCTTAATGCCACCAGGGTTCACCAGCATCATGGTGCCTTTGGTCCGACGGTCCGTCTTGCCAAACGATGGGTAGCATCGCATCTCTTAGCAGATCACATGACCTCAGAGTGCATTGAACTCCTGGTAGCCTATCTGTTCTTGCATCCGGAACCCTTCACATCACCGGTGTAAGTATGAGATCAGGGGTTACTGTGGCTTGTGAGTTTGTGGAAATTTGGTGAATCTACCTCCCTGAAATTGATATACTAGATGAGCAAACATTCCATGTGCCGTTTCCTGATTAACCTACTGACGCCCTAAGCCTCTTGACACACCCATGAAAAATACATTGTATATGACAATGAAATATTTTTCATTCAGTTTATGCAATCTATATCAGATTTTTTTTTTTCTCTCTCTCTCTCTCTCTCTCTCTCTGTCTGTCTCCCTCTCTTTCTTTCTCTCATGGAATTCATTGATTCCCTAATGATTGTAATTCATGAATTATTTGATGGCATTTATCAATGGAGAAATTATTTGTATTTTATTTTTGAGGAATGAAATTGGAAGCAAGTTATTTGATTTGACTTTTTTATGATGTGATTGAGAAATTGGTACTTCTTATATGAAGATTTTAATTTGACAAAGATTATTTGTTTCCCATGTAGGTCACCACAAACAGGTATCTTACATTTCCTGAATCTTCTTTGCCAACACGACTGGGAGAGTACACCACTCTTCATCAACTTCAACAATGATCTCACAGGCAAGTCAAATCTCAGTGCCATTCTAACAATGTCAGTAAAGAAGTTTGAGGAGGCAAGATGGCTCAGTCGGTAAAGCGTCTGCCTGTCGAACCAAAGATCGAGGGTTCAAATCCATCCCAGGTAGTTGACTGAAGCCTGCGTTGTGTGTTGACATGCCCCTCCCCTGTTTCATAGACGCAAGCTATGTTACAGTGGAAAACACTCTATCCCTCAGATAGGACGTTAAATGTAGGCCTAGTGAGGAGGACGTTAAGAAAGTTAAGAACCCACTGCACTAATCATATGAGGGTAGGGGGAATCCCCGGTGTAGTGGTCCACCTGCACACCCCCAATCAGTTATACCGGGAGGAGAGACCCTAAGGTTACAGTGATTCAGTTTGCTTTTCACAGGCACAGGTGAAGACAAATACCTAATTATATAGTGGAGGAGAGAGTGAGTTTATTTCTATTTGAAGAGAAGATGGAGCTATAGTCAATTATTTGGGAGCAGTTTTTGTAATCTCATGTACAATCACATCTATCAAAGCACTTTCCTATGAAAAAGATTATTCATGAAAAGCTCTCAGACTTTACATATAACTAGAAATAATTCACTGAATTAAAGTCTAATGCCACATGTTTTTGTAGAACCCTCATTCAATGGCCATCCTTTTTCATTGTTTGTGATTTTCAACAAGATCTAGTCATTTGGTTATGACTTTGGTGATTCTAAAATTGCATAATATGCAATCGTTTGTATTGTGTTAATCCATCATTTTCCATTACTTTACTCTCCCATGTGGAGAACAGTCTTTGTCTTGTACAAGTTCTTTTTAGAATAAGATATTTTCGTGAATATGATATCTGTAAACTGATCATTGTCTTTGATGAAATAAGTATCATGGTTGTATCATCGTTGTCATATTTGTCACTGATCTGAATTACAGCTTCAGATTACGATGAGATTCGTCAGCAGTTCACCAACAATCGATCTCACCTTCCCGTCATGTTCCTGGCCACGCCCACTGACAGACAGACGTCACTATGGACACAAGACAAACCAACACCAATGGTAATCAAGGATTACGTTTTACTTGAAAAGATATAGCACTTTTAAATAAATAAATGAATTAATGAATCAATGGACATTGTTTAATTTTATTATAAGATTGTGCAACACGTAAAGAGAATCTTGCTTTGACAGGGAAAATTGTGGGAAGAAGGAGGATACTTTGGATGGACAGTCTGCAGAAATTGTTGGAAGAGAGAGGAGTGAAAGAACTGGGAGTGGTACTAATACAGAAGGCTAGGAGCCGAGGGTTGTGGAACAGCATGATCGCCTAAGTCAAACGATATGGCACTTAGAGAGAGAGATATGATTGTGATTAAATTAGTATTTTTTAAATTTGAACTATTTAATTCAAATTGAAGTACTGTGCAAGAGAGAAGATTTAACAAATTAATCAGATGGGGGAAGAAGTACATCTAATTTGGTTTTGGTACGGGCCCACTGAACAGGATAGACAAATCTAATTTTATTTTATAAAAGATATTTGCTAGGAGATCAATATGTATGTGTGTAATCATATTTTGCATAATAAAGGAGCAAAATACAATTCTACAATGACTTTAGCTCTACTTCAAAGCAAGGTCACAGGTGATAATTTTCATGATTTATTGCATATCAATTATCACTATGGCTGGTAGGTACTTTGCCAAATTACTAACAGCAGTGCTTTTAAAGTGGCTCGGTAGCATTGCCTCAGATTCTGAAACAAAATCCTTTATTTAGCTCATGCTGCAATCATAATTATAAACCTCAAGGTCAGTCAGGAATCCCATGACTTTTACAAGCCGATCACCTGTCTGATTATCAAAATATTTATGATTGGAAATAAAAATTCAATTTTTGTTTTCCAAATGGTTTTAATAACACTACAGTCTATTGGGGAAAATGAGTATGGTAAAACCGGTCACTGAAAGATTTTTATTTTTTTGAGGCACTTCATGATCATTTTTAAGCCCAATTTTTTTTAACACGTAGGCCTAGGGTCATGCATCCCAGATTTATCATTGTTAAATGATGCCTTTAACAAGTGTGATCATTTTGTTATTCTCTAGATATTCCAAAGGCTGATTGAGCTTGCCAGGGAATCATTCACAGTATTACAGCAGCAGCTCTCTGGACCTATCTCAGCTGAAGTAGATTTCAAGGTAAATATTGCTCTGTGGCTTTCAATCAATGGCTTTCATTTGTGTTTTTCTTGCAAGGATAGATATAAAGCTCTAAACAATAAATCTAAAAATATAAACCATATACGGGAAATAGAGAAAATGTCCTATGAAAACAGGAGGAATTTTAATAGAGGTTTGACAGTGTTACTACTCTGTCATATGATATAAACTTTGTTGCTGTTTTTTTTTGCAAAAGGGCAATATTATAAGTCATAAGCCCCAATGAATGCTACAAAACTGACAACAACATTCAACAGCCAAAAAAAATCCCTGTTCAGATTCATTTTTCCACATGGAATTTTTAATTTTGTGAGCCTTGACTTGAAAATATTTTAAATGCCTATTTATATTTATCCTTTGTGTTTCAAAGAAATGTGTATATTATTGAATGTAATATCCCATGCACAGTGGTATATTGTGGTTGTGTTATGTATTTATTTTGTTGATGACAATGTACTATGTAACAAGTGTTAGGCAGAGTTACTTTATGTGTCTTTATGTAAATAATTTTGTAGAAAATAGAAAATTAGAGATTAAATTGAGTGTAAATTGTAATCTTGACAGCAAATCTTCTGGCCTCCACTCAAACTTTACAAGTGTTAGACAGAGTTACTTGATATTTTTATTTATTTATTTCTAATCTTTTGATAGGGTAGCCCATTCACCAATAAGTAATGGTCTTCCATTGGGGCCCTGAATAAACATGAACATATGTACACATGTGTACTTATGTGTGTAACTATGATGTGTTTATTGTAGAAATAAGGATATATAGAAAATTAGAAACTAAATTGAGTGTAAATTGTAATCTTTACAGCAAATCTTCCGACCTCCGCTCGACCCTTACGATGTGGTGATCCATCTCCGAGCCAAGCTCCTTCCCAGGAGGCACCAGGCGGTTGATGCCGACCCAACGACGGAGAGTTTGTTGACCCTCAAACCTACCCTCGATGCCAAGCACTTACCGGTGGTGGACTTTGACCCCGTGCAGTGCTACCTGGTTGAGCTGAGGGTGAGTCAGTCATAGGCCTTAATCACACATGTTATGAATCACCTTGAAATCAAAATGGCACAGAAAAATATAGTGACATATAAAGCATGGTCCGGTTTACATTTTTCTATTCGATAACCAGTGGTAGACTTTGACCCTGTGCAGTGCTACCTGATTGAGCTGAGGGTGAGTCATAGGCCTCAATCACACATGTTGTGGCTTCCTCATGAAATCAAAATGGCACGGAAAAATATAGAGACATATTAAGCATTGTGCAGTTTACATTTCTCTATCCCATAGCGCATAATGCCTTGTTCACATATGCAAACCATGGTTCATCAAACACACCAGTCATGACGAAATCATGCATATTCAACCAATGATCCATGAAAAAAAAAATTCTGTATGTAAGAACTGTAAGAGGCATTGAGCCGTGTTTTCTTTTTTTTAATACAATTTTTGTCAATAAAATACAACTTTAAGGATTAAAGAATACACTTTTTGATCTTCCGAGGTTGAAATGTTGTTAGTTGCCATTTTTTGCCCCCTAATCCCTTTTTTTTTTTAACTCAAGGGGTGGGGGGTGGGGTTGAGGGGAAAAAAAATCTATTTTTGTTAGTGCTCACTATCACCCCTGCAATTAAAACACATATTTTATCTTTTTCACCCTAGTCTTCCCTTCTCATTAATTATTCCACTTGATACAAGTCATGAGTCATCTTTGATTTCCTCTTACCAACAAACTTTAATATGGTTGTGATTTATGTTGTTACTCAGGGCTGGTCGTTTAAAGTCCACTTCATATACTTTTTTTGAATTTTGGTTTGAGCTTTGTCTGTGAAAGGCACCTTAGAAGATTCAAATACAATACTTCCATTTTGTCTAATTGGGTAAATCCCATTGTTCATTGTAATGTGCAAGGCTCCATTTCGTTTTCAATGAACTACATTGTTTGTCACAGTCTTTGGTTGGCTAACTTTTAAATTTCTTACATGACCATACACCCATAAATTTATAACATAATACCCCCTAATTCTACTCTGAGATGCCCATCAAATTTGCAAAAATTACACACTTGATTCATTTTTCTTTATATGGGAGAGCTTGGATAAGGCTTATCAGTGTTTTGCTTCAGTTGGAAGTATGCAATGATTTTCTGAGTTAATGCTTTACATGTAAAAATCTATGTCTAAGGGTCAATATCAAAATATAAAAGGTGACTGATATCTTGTAAAAGAAAAGGCCAATGAATTTTCAATCCCAGCAGAACAGTAGTGTTTATGGTTTTTGTGGACTATTCCATACTGAATAAAGTAATAGCGTAGTCCTAAACCTCCAAGATGTACCATGAAAAGAAAAAAATCACAGAATCCAAGAATTGTTTTGTCAGATAATTCCACTGGGACCTCTAATCGGTTGTGTGGAAAATCCCATTGCTGTGGGAAGAATTCCTTCAACACGGTGATGTGTGAGCCAAAGTTATGGGCCTGCTTCTGGGAAATGACTATGAGCATATCTCATAATTATTTGAAACATGTGTTGCAACATGTCAAAAGTGCGTTTTGTGCGGGAGGTATGTTGGGAGGATGTAATTTAATTTTGTAAACAAGAGCAAGGGTAAATCATGTTGGTTGATGAAAACCTGAATGCTTATTGATGAGTTTCGTTGTTACATGATAAGGTTTGTGTTTGTGCCAAGGTTTCATGCTGTGCTTGTGGCTAATTATTATTACCTTAACATTCTAAATTGTTAACCACGAACAAAGAAGATCATCACATTGTGTGCCATTCAACTTTACAAAGATTTTTGGTTTTGGTTTTTATATTTCATTTTTTTGAAACATACTCCATCGTTCTACATCAGGGAGCAATGAGTGTATATGAGTACAAGACAGAGTAGCAAATGAGTGAATAGTCTACACACATTCTAATCCACCTTGCCATCGACCATCGTAGTGGGAAGAGACACACTACTGATTTTACTTGTTTATTTATTTATTTAATTCTATTTCCAGGAACATAAAAGACTATTGAAGGAGTGTAACAGTAATAACGAATACAAGAAAATGAAGTACATTAATAAATGCAATAACACAGGAAAAGAGACTATCAACTAATGCCTGTGGATTACCAAAAGAAATCATGTTTCTGTAGAAGGCTCTACCTACTCATTAGCTGATGGTTTAATACATAAATATACATAATTTGTCATAGAGTTCATGTTTTCTGACTTTTTGGATGAATCTTGGATTTATTCATGTTTTTTGTTGTTGTAATTAATGACCAAATATGTTCATGTTTATCCCCTATTCCAGGAAGCTTTTGAGGACCTGGCCTTGTTCTTCCATGATACGTATGGCGGTGACATCATAACAGTAGTGTGGAAGAGACCCGCCTTCAAACCTCAGCCATTCAAGGTAAAATCCTAATGTTGTATCGGAATTACTTTAAAAGCCACTATTTTGCAATAAAGATATTTTGCTGATGACCGACACACAGTCATTTCTGCAATAACAACAACAAATAAAAAATCCCCTTCATATTTTTTCTGTTTGGGTGCAAAAAATACCACAGGTTAATGACAATACATGTTGGCACATACATTGCTAGCTCATTTTCATGTATACCTGGTAGTTTAATTTGCGACCTTTTGTCAATTAGCAATATTCACAAAAACTCTCCCAAAAATAATGCCTCACTTGTGCACTGTTTAATTTGACCATGACCCGATATAAAATTAAATGCCAAAGGGATAGTTGTCCCAAATTGACTGCAGAGCTATTGTTGCTCTAGAGCATATATCGTTTTAAAAAAATGAGCAAGGCTAATGAGAGAGTGCTGTTTTGTCACATTTTCTCCAGAAATATTACATGTGTCTTCAATGCCCTATTCCTCATTATCTTCTCTCTCTTTTTATTTGTTCACACTTTGGAGTGGGATGTTTTACATTGCTGCCCCCAAACTGCCCGAATTCCATTTCATACAGTCTTTGGCATCCATATAAGCAAGGTTTCATCCTCTGAGATCTATTTGACCTGAGTGAGGTCAGCTGTTTTGACCTCTTTCTAAATTACTTCTGGGGAGGGATAAAGCAATTAATCAGATTAGTTTTAGCCTTGATTAGGAAGAGTGGATGTTTTCTCTACAACCATCTATAGTGTCACATCTTTCAAACTGGTTTACTAGCAAACATTTTATGTAAGGCTATGAGGTAAACAAAAAAAAATGAAATAAAAGAAAACTGTTCTTGATTTTCAAATTACTTACAATGAAATTAGAACTATTTCTATTTCTTCATGTGTCACATGATGAATGATTATCAAGGGAAGGTCAGATTATTTATACAGTATCCTCAAATTATCCATACTCTTACATAATCCTGTTACATGGACATCTTACCCATAGAAAGACAGGCTGTGGGGGGGGGTAGCTGTATTCTTTTGTCAATATTCCTTGGTTAGTGGCATATACATGAAAGATAAGAAGGAGCATTTTTTTTAGGAGATTGTGTTTCATTAGATATATCAATAATTCTCAACTGTTTCATTTCTTTTTACGATCCAACAGTAATATCGTTATTTGCCTGTTTCTTATAAATTTTTTCTTAGACATTGTTTCTTATAAATTGTTTCTTATACATTGTTTCTTATAAATTGTTTCTTATAAATTGTTTATATTTCTTTCCTGATTTCAGCCTCTTCAAGCGCAAGCCAGGATACCCTCCACATCTTCCTCCAAGGTTCCCCTCGTCATCCCCAACATAGAGGGGATCATCCAAGACTTCCAAACCATGGGACGGGGGCTTGTCACGTCCATCGAGGTCCGCACCGAAAACTGGAACATTTGATCGTCCAAGGGCAATTGATTCTTTTTCTTGGCCAGCTTGTAGCTCCCCTCGATTCTTCCTCTTCTTAATTAATGTCTTCCTGATTGTGCAAGACGTGTGTTTATGAGGACAGCCTTTGGCAGGGTGCAAGTCATTGGGGGATGTTTCCATTCACAAGATGTCCTTGTCTCAAAGACATCTCTCATAATCTGGACGGCTCATTCACATATATCGCAGTAAATCATTTGTTTGTGTACTGAGTGAATGGCAGGTAGGAACAAAAAAGTAGCTACGAGCAACAAAGATCCCTTGGGAACTCACCTATCTATGTGTTTTATGATACAAAAAGTTGAAGTGCCGGTACAATATGCTTCAATAAGTACTTGTAACAAACTGCAGCAGGAAACAGCCGTATGTGAACGAGGCTTTAGAGTGGCAAATTAATTATATCATATAGGAAGAAAGTAGATCAGAGAGGTTGTAGAGTGAACCAGATTGAGAAGGGAAGAAATGAAAAGAAGACGTATAGAATTATCTAAATATCATTTGCATATGTTTGTATTTTTATGTAGATAAAGATATGCTTCTCTGAATATTATGTCCGAAATATTGAATTTAGGAAATATATATATAATGCAGGGACTTCACATTTTCAAGATTAAGAATATTGTGTTTTAATATGTACAACTGTACTGTAGAAATTAACTAAACCTGTTATTTGACAGAGATCACCATGATGAAGATGATGATGATGTAAAACCAGCCCTGATATATTTCATAGAATAAATATGAAATTAATATATTGAGACATTGTATAAGACATTTTAAGTGGTCCCCAACATGTCATGTTTCCTCTGCTGACATGCACCATGTGTGTATTATGCCTGGTGAAACAGCCCACCTCCTTTGACCCATCCCCCTTAAAAAGAAAATCAAATAAAAGCTGGGAATACAGCCTTTAGTTATGAAAATGATTTGTCCTTTTTGAGTTCATGAATTAGTTTCAACTCATGTTACAATTCTCTATTTTCGTAAATTCCCCCCCCCCCCCATGAAGATGTTTATGTGTCTTGCAGTAAATTCAATTGACATGACTTGTTCATATTAATTAGGAAGATTGTTCTTTTGTAACTAATTGATTTAATATGTTATAAAGCATTGAACAGAATTGGCTGTTTTTATGATACTTTTATGTAATGAAACACAAGGTTATTGATCAGTGATAAAATGATTTTTATGAAAATCTTTGATGAAGATGAATCACATTTGTTCGAAAAAGAAAACACTGGTATATACAGAATCTAGTACTGAAAATACCAAATATATACCATTATCTGTCTTTTAACTGCCCTTTGTGGTGATTTTTTTCTGTTTAATCTATTGATTCCTTATCTGTTTGTAATTTTGATTGATTGGTTGGTTGATTGATTGATTGATTGATTGAATAATTGTTGAATAAGTGATTGATTGATGTATAAATGACTGTTTAAATTTTATGTGTGATGGACTACTATAGTCAATGGTATTTTTTTTTTTTTTTTTTTTTTTTTTTTTGGGGGGGGGGGGGTTAATGGTGTCTGAAAATCAATAACAATGTTTTTGTTTCAAAACATGTAAGGAGTAAAAGGAGGGACTGTATTCATGAAATCGAGCAGAACTAGAACAAGAGAAAAAAGAGGATTGGGGAAGAATATTGAAATGGATGCATTTGTCTGTGGCGGAAAACTAAGAAGTGAAGGAGATGGAATTATCCATAAAGCAAGTTTATTTGTGCGTGGCTCGTATTACAATTTACATTCAATGTCCAGCAGACTCGAGAAGAGATTTTATTCAAGACGAGCACTTTTGTTTCCCCTGTTAATACGCCTGCCGCCCAGTCTTGCATAAAACATCTACACTGCCCTATAATTGCGTTGAACCATCAAAACAGCAAAGCTAACTCCATTCTTCAGAGTCTTCATCTCTAATTCAATTTTCTCCTGCGTTGATATATCTAATTTATCCCCTCTCGTCAAATCTACCCCGTATCCCTTCTCACACTTCGCATCCTTAATTAAGTCTCTCACATCGCATTAAACCGCGTTATAATATTCCTTCATTTAACCTCTGGAGGAAACGGTCTGTCATACAGTGGTCGGAGCGCAGAACGCGGGCCTACTCTGGGGACCTCGTTCCTCGAGTGCTCGCTTCGAGATACACGGTTGAGGTTAATTACTTTCCGACTGCCCCGACGTATGTGACCCGCTAAATCTTTGCCATGCCGAAATAAATATAGTATTACGAAGGGGCGGCGCGAGAGAATTGTGTTTGCTGGTGGGGGGGGGGGGGGCACAAGTCTAACAAACTTCTGACGTACATGCAAATTAATACGAGGGGGGATTAATGAGGTCGCATTTACCATGGAAGGGGGGAGGGGGCGTGAAAAAGTTACAAGGATTATTTTTCGCATGTTTGGGGGCAAACCATAGAGGCAACACCCCCTCCCCCATCCCATCGTTTCACGGTTTGTGTTATCTCGACTTCAAAATGTCTGCAAAGTTAATGTTTTTCGACGTACGTGTAGCTGCGTCGAGTGAAAGTAACGCGGGGAAATTGTTGATAAAGTCTGCTGTCATCAGATGAAACTCGTGCGATTACATCACTCATATTTTTTCAGCGGAGGATCAGCGGTTCTTCAGTCAGAACAGACGTGATTGTGGTTGGATTCTAAAAAGGAAGGCGGTATAAGCCGTGCACTGAACCGTTCCAAATCCCCACTTTCGATCCCCAAATACATATCGAAATTCCCAGTCGCAACAAACTCGCATGGCTGAAACTACCAATGAACACTACTTCAGATACAGGAGGGAAGTTGTCAACTCATACCTTCAAATTTTCAAAAACACGAAATATAATCTGGTTTAAATTCTGTCCGTCGAAGGCACCAATTAAAGTCAGATAATATACTTCACATGTACTTGAGTTTTTTCCTTGTCTAAAGGCACAAGTGCGCACGTCTGCTGTCATTGTGGAATTATATCTTGGGTACAACTATCTTGCGTCATCTAAATTATTATGATGTGAGAATTTCAATTTAAGGTTATTGTCAATGAGTATAGAAATCATCCATCTATATATCCCAAAATATGCAAATTACACACAGCCTCATAATCTCCTCTTTCTTTTTTAAAAATGTCATTCCTTCATAATTGGTAAGGCTTTTAACAGGAGCCACCAAACTCTCCCATAAATGCATTGCGTATGTTTTAATCACATCTATGAGGCTTTTCATATTATCAAAGTAGCAGAATATTAGTGACAAAATAAAGCTTATTTCAAGTAGACGGAAGAAGGAAATTGGCGGCAAATATTATTATAAATCCTGATTCCTGAGTCAGATGATTCACAGTTGTTCGACTTCTGTCTTTCTACTTTAAGTCTCGCATTGCTAGCTGGTGTGGTGAGAGATGATCCGGAAAAGCCGTCTCTTTTGATCAACCTGTGATGATCTTCAGGTACTGATTAAATTAAGTAAAGACGAGAAAGGAAAAGAAAATATGATGAATACCATAATTTAATAAGAAAAGTGGGACTGTTAGTAGAAACTAGTTTTTTTTTTCAAGCATTCGGTTTGTCTCGCTTTTAGGGCATATTATCACAGGCGTCGTTGTGTTATTTTCATGAGGATGGGGTGACAAGTTTCGACAAAAAAATTTCCCTCAGACGACAACTTCTAAAATTATTCCTTTAGCAACGCTATGATTTTTATTTAGCACCTACTGTATTTACATGAAAAAGCACCCCGTTTTCATTTATTAACCCATTTCCTTCTTAAGATAAAACTATTTCTTGTCCCCTCCCCTAGCGATACTTTGACCGTTCACATTTTGATCATACTGATTTCTGTTTAACCCGCCCGCCGCCACAATTTTTTTTCAATTCCATTTTGCACTATTTCCATGGCAACACGGTTCATATTTATATTTTCTCCATTCCACTCAGCTCAAAATGTTATATTTTACCCCCCCCCCCTCCCCCCGCCCCTTTTCATTCTTCATTCCACAGTCCCAAGAATCTTCATCTTCCACTCTCTATATTTCTTTCCATTTTCCCCACCTACGAAACTTTACAAATTTGACAAGAAAATGTGTGACTTGTTTTCCTGTTTACCAACAAAAATATTGAGTAAAGTTGCCCCGAAAGTTGCCTCCTCATTGAAATCCTTGTCATGCTCTTCAAATTTGTTATCGTCTTCTGTGTTTCATTGCGGATGAACTCTTTTTAGACAGATCCAGAGTTCTATATATAAAAACGCAAAAATCATGATTTAGGAAGGATTTTCCCTAAGGTGATTTATCATTATAGCGGAACAGCTCAACGATGACGTTTCCCTAGCATTATGTAATACTACCGGGACTTTGAAGTGAGAGAGAAAGAGAGAGAGAGAGAGAGAGAGAGAGAGGAAGAGAGAGAGAGAAAGAGAGAGAGAATGAGAGAGAGAGGGAGAGAAAACGAGAGAGGGGCGAAGAGGGAGAGAGGTTGATGGGGAGGGGAGAGAAAGAGGAAAGAGAGAAAGAGAGAGAGGAGAATAAAGATAGAAAAGGATAGAGAGTGGGAGGGAAGAAGAGAGAGATAGGGAGACATAATAATATATATAATTATATATATATATAAAGTTAAACCTTTTCAATCTCTATGTAATATATGGAGATAGAGGAGGAGACAAAGAAATGTCTGATCACCCGTTAACAGAGTGACTCATCAGTTATTTTGTTTTGGTGTTTCATCAGATTGATGAATCATTTCTAAGATTAATTAGGAAAGAGAATGAGAGGGTATAAAGAAACAGGCATTTAATTGGAAAAACGGAAAACAATGAAGATAATGAGACAAAAATAAATGATAGGGGTAGTTTTGAGTCTAATCATCTAGTAAACAGAGACTTTACAGAGTGACTAATCGTTTTTTTTTTTCTTTCTACAAGACCGAATGACCTTATTTCTCAGGTTTAATTATGTTAAATACGGAACACACACAATGCTGATAACTTTTTGTCAACGATTCTGTTCATACTGCTAGCCATGGGCCAGCGATCTTAACGCATGTGCAACATATAAAAGACCCTAAAGAAAGCTTTCAGGCATAAATGAAAGTTTGATGCTACTTCACCCTCACTCTCAAAATTATTCAGATGTAAACAAAAGCTATTCAAATTATAATAGAAAATGTTAATAGATGCACTCAGATGCATGGAGAAGAGATTAAAGAAGAAGAAAACTTCTGCTACCTTGGAGGATTGATCCTCCTGTATGGCTGTGAGAGCTGGGGGTGTTTCACAAAGATCCTAAGTTGAACTTATCTCTAAGTTGGACTTAACTATTATGGAAAGCCGTTGGCATCTATGAAAATATTTTGTAAAAGTTTTTTAGAAGGCATAAAAAGTTGATTCAAATCTTTCATATTTTATATTATCAAGGAGATTTCATGTTCTTGATGTTGAATTTATAAAAAGTCTAAAATACTTGAATTTTCGCTTATGAATATATTTAATTTTAAGGTTACAAATGGGTCTCCATAATGTTTAAGTCTAACAATTTAGTTTGACTTAGGATCTTTGTGAAACGACCCCTTGGACATATGAAGAGAAGAGAAGGGACACAAGATACTGACACACAAAAAATACCTTGATATTGTCCATTGGATTTGCAGGATATCTGCTAAGGCCATCAGGAAGGATGGGAGGAAAGACATCCTCTGAACTGATTAACAAGAAACAAACTGATAATCCATTTCAACTATTGTAATATGAACTTCTGCATACACTACATCCTTCGTATGGCTTTTCAATAAGCAAGTAACAAACAAGTGATTGAAAAGAAATTGAAAATAGATGACACAGTGTTAATCCAGATAAGACGAATGTTTAGACAAAATAAGACGAGTGTTTCCTCCGATTGTATATTCTATTTGTTCTTGTTTTGTTTTGTTTTGAAGAAAAATTACTTCCATTCTTCCATTCTTTAAAATAACATCTTCACAATAGTCACAGTAACATGACATAAACAAGCATATTCATTTAGAATTATGCAAACTCATATAATCATGAAAATTCTTCGTACAATAAACGAACAAAACAAGCGATCTCAACGTAACATTTTACCAGGGCAATCTTATGCATCGTATTATTAATAGAAGTTTATTTCTTGAAATATCAAAATAGAAGGAACGAAGGCAGGAAGCAACAACTTTAAAACGCCCTCCTACCCCCCCCCCCCCCCCTCGAAAAAGAAAGAAAGATGCTTTAGTAATATATTTGTTATGGTCAGCAT